AGCCCACACCTTACGAAGGTTTTAATCTATGTAATTTAATTTTTTTTTTTTTTTTTTTTTTTGTCAGTGGAAAGTGTCATGACGCCATTTCTAACCTTAGGTCCCTGGGCAGGAAAGAAATGTGTAAATGCCAGAAATCAAAGAAAATGATAATGATAATAATAATAATAAATGCTACACCAGGCATGGCTCTCATGGCTTCTGACCTTAGCTGATTAGAGGTCCGAACATGTATATGTTTCATCTTAGTGAATTAATATGGGCTACAGTTAATATTTCATTCAGTAATACAGATTTTTTTTATTCATTGATTGATTTGTTTGTTTTTTTAGGGCTTATCAACCCATCTAAAGCCATAAAATATTTTTAAACTGTAAGAATTTTTGAGAGATAATAATGATTTTTACTGATAAAAGTTCTACTAATTAACCAATATTTGGGGGAAGAGAGAAGGTGGCTACATACTTTTCCCAAGGGTATTTCCATGTTAGTGACTATAATGAACCCGACTGGAACTGGAACATGGCTCTTTGATTTCCAATTCTGAGCTGTTATCCATTAAACTACCTGCACATTCAAGCTTAAGCACCTGGTATTCCCAAGTGGTCACCCATCTAGGTACTGACCAGGCTCAATATTGCTTAACCAGTGATTGTACAAGAACCAGTGTTTCAACATGATATTATGGTAAGCTAGTAGATTTGCTTGTCAACTGCCTGACAGTAACCAGCTGAACATGTCCATCAGGGGGGGATGCACTGTGCATCTCTATTCATGAGAGGGAGTAGTGGATGAGCGTCCTCACTGGGTGTTAAGAGAACTTTTTTCTAAGTTTGAATGATGAGGCATCGAAGGTGTTGTAGCATACCTACGGACAATAATGGGTATGTCCCTATTCACATAAATACAGTAGTAAATACTGTATGTTAGTCTGCAGTTGGAGATTCATTGTAGAATTCACTTGGCTCAATTTCTAGCAGTTGACAACTACTTCTATGCACCGCTGGCAAATCTTATATATTTTGTTCTTGTTCTAAGCGTTATCTTTCATTATCAACTTTCGTATGATTATTCTATTCAGTAACCTTCCCTAAGTTATGACAGAAGGTGACATGAGTGTCTCATCTAGATGCTTGGGAACACTCTCATTTGGAGACTCTGAGCAGACTGGGTTATCTGACCTGAAGGTATTCCTAACTTGACCCCACCTGCAAAGTTATATGCTGCTCAATAAAAACCTGTTATCATACACATTTGGCTGTGATGCATGTAACTTGTATACTCGTATAAGAGTAGTTGTCTTTATTGAGCTTTGTATATTTGTATCCTAGTGTTGATTTGTTGGAATGCTGCTCTCTCTCAATAATAATAATAATAACCAAATTAGTTCAGACTGGTGTCAAGATGGGTGTATTAGGGTTTATATATTTGTAGCCCAGTGTCACTTTCTTTTCATGTTGCTCTTCTCACTCAATAATAAAGTTGAAATGGTTAGATATAACTATAAGTTCTATGTTAACAGTTTCTTCTCTTGCACTTCTCACAATGTGGTAGGTCCTGATCTGGCATCTCATCTACAGTCACTGTCTCACAGACATACCATGGATTCTCTCTCTCTTTTCTACAAGTATTTTCATGGCAACTGTTCCTATGAGCTACTTTCGCTGGTTCCCAGACTCCATGAATTTAAGCAAGCTACTAGGTTGGCATCTCATTCTCATCCTTTCACTGTTGAAACATTTAAATGTAACCGTCTCTTCTACTCAAACAGCTTCTTTTCTTGCACTTCCCGTCTGTGGAACTCCCTTCCTCTTACTTGCTTCCCTGATAACTATAATCTTTAAATATTCAAGTGTAATGTCAATCAACATCTTCTGATGCCTTGATCTTGTTCCCTGACCTTCTCTTTATCTTTTCCTCAAACGCGCCTCTTGTTCTCTACCCTCTATAACCCCTTGTGTTCTAGTGGCACTCTTGCCTTGCTTGGGATGAAATGCTTAAAAAAAAAACTTGTGGAACTCTTTTCTGGCTCCATGCTTTCCAACCAACTTTGATCTTCAAAAATTTAAATGCAATGTCAATCATTATCTACTGTCTTCTTCTATTGTTCTCACCCCTTAATAATTTTTCTTTTTTTTCTTATTCTTTTACTTTCAGTAAACGATGCATTGTTGCCATATCTGGTCTGGCGCTCCTGCTGTTCATCTCAAGGTTCTTGACAAAATCTAAAGATGGATTTACAATGTACTCGATCCTGACTTGACATCTCTACTTCAGTCACTTTTTCACTCACTTTACATGGCTTACCTCTGTCTTTTCTACAAATATGGCAACTGTTCTGATGAACTGTCTTCCTTGATACCCGGATTACATGAACTTAAACGTGCTGCTAGATTGGCATCTAGGTCCCACCCTTTTACTGTTGAAATAGTTAAATGCAACTGCCACTTCTTCTCCAGAAGTTTCTTTTCTCACACTTCTTGATAGTAGAAGTTCCTTGCTTTTACTTGCTTCCCTGATAACTACAATCTTCAAAAATTTAAATGCAATATGAATTGCCATCTTCTGTTGCCTTGATTGCCCTTCTTCTTTTATCCTTTCCTCAATTCCCTCTATATGCAGTCTTTTTCCCTCACTTTCACTCTCTGTAACCACCTACATGCTAATAGCTCTCTTGCCTTGCCTGGGGTGAAATGATTAAAAAATATAATAACCAAATTAGGTTACACTAATATCAAGATGGGTGTATTGTGATTTATATATTTATACCCTAGTGTTGCTTTGGTTGGCATGTTGCTATCTCCACTCAATAATAATAATAATAATAATAATAAGCAGCTTCTTCTGTATACTGTGTCCTTTCAGGGCATGGTTGATCCACAACTTCCTAACTTTTGTAGCTATTAGTACAATTTGCCTTTTCACTATCCCTTCTAATTCTTGTTCTCTCATCAATTTACACAAGCTTACTATGTAAGTTACTCACTGTTCCCTCTGTCTGTCTTGCCTTCAGTATGTCCTTTGAGTATCAATTTCTCTTAGCCCACTTTTCTCATTATGTCTCCTACAAGCTTCAACTTTCTCTTTCTGATTCTAAGAATAAGTGTCCTTTTTGTTTTCATTATCATTAAAACTTTCCTGTTATTCCCATGTTGAGTCCATGTTATTCTCAGCATCCTTCTGTAGAATCATATTTCTGTTGCTTAAAGTTTCTTCTTCATCTGTGATGAGATTGTACATCATTCACTGCCATATAGGAGGACCGATATTGCATAACAGTTCAGACTGAATTGAAACCATCCGAACAAGAACGTTATTAAACTCAACAAGAATTGCTGTCACTTGATCTCCAGGAAAATCTCCAGTTACAACTGATATGAATATCAATAGAGCAAATATCTTTGTTGGCCTTTTTCAGGCCCTTTTTCTAGGCATGTGGATAATGAGGTACTCCTGCCATTCTAAACTTTCATAAAACTCTGAATAAGTGGAGGTCATCATTATTGGCCTGCGATCACATCTGTAATGTTCTTCCAAGTGAAAAATATTCTGTTCCAAGTCAGGAACATTATTCCTTTTGTTGTAGACTCACTTGAAAGAATAAAAAATTATTGAAAAAAAAATAAAATAAAACAAAAGGTTTGAGGCTCTCTTGTTTTTTTTTTTTTAAATATTGGGAAATTTGTTGTCATTTCTTTAAAAAAAACCCTCGAAGAATGACAAAAGCTGTGCATCAAAAGCTTTGAGTCAATTGAGTGAGTCATGCTTCTGTGGTTATCTGTTGATTGTTAATTAAAAAAATGAAAGTTGTAGAGAAAGACATTGAAAGAGAAAGAATATATATCTGAAAAAGAGAGTAGAAAGTAGAAGTGAATGAAGAGAGAAAGAGAGAGAGAGAGTGTGTGTGCGCAAAAGAGAAAGAATATATATCTGAAAAAGAGAGGGTGTATGAATGAAAAGAAAAGAGAGAGAGTGACAGTGTATGTGTACGTAACTGTGCATCATTGAGTGTGAGAGAGAGAATAGAGTGTGTGTGTGTGAGAGAGAGAGAGAGAAAGAGAAAGAATATTTATTTGAAAAAAGAGAGGGTCTATGAATGAAAGCAAAAGCGAGAGAGAAAGTGAAAACAGTGTGAGCGTGTGTGTGTTTGCAACTGTGCATCATTGAGTGTGAAAGAGAGAATAGATGGTGTGTGTGTGTGTGTGTGAAAGAGAAGGAATATTTATCTGAAAAAGGGACTGTGCATGAATGAAAAGAAAAGTGAATGTGAGTGAAAGACAGAATAGAGGGTGTGTGCGTATGTGTGCATGTATGTGAAAAGGACAGAAAGTGTATCTGTGTGCATGAAAGGGAGAGTGTATGTATGTGAAAGAGAGAGAGAGAGAGGTTGTGCATATGAAAAAGAGAGGGTGTGCATGTGAAAAAAAAGTATGTTTCTGAAAAAGAGCGACAGTGTGTGTTCATGTATTTGAAAGGAGAATGCATGAATAAAAGTAAGAAAGTGTGTGCATCACTGACTTTGCAGGAGAAAAATGGAGTTTGTGTGTGTGTGTATGTGTGTGTGTGTGTACATATATCTGAAAGGGAGAAGGTGAATGTTAGTGTGTGTCAAAGTAAGAGAGAAAATATAGATGTTTGAAAAATAGAGAGAGAATGTGTGTGTGTGTATGCATATGTGAAAGAGAGTGTATGAATAGAAGGAAGGAAGCGAGTGTGCATCTTTGATTATGAAAGAGAGAATGGTGTGTGTGTGTGTGTGTGTGTGTGTGTGTGTGTGTGTGTGTGTATGAAATGAAGAGAACATAAGAGTATGTGTCTCTGAATATGTGAATGGGAGAGAGAAAGATCACACAACAGTGATCAGGTCAACAGTGACAATAACAACTCACCCACACGTGTGAGTCAGTATGCTGCAGTCGTGCCATTGCAGGCTCAGTGATAAAAACTAAATATGTCTGAGAGTTTCTGAAAATAACAGAAGAATTAATTAGTTTGTAGATATGACTCCTCCATTTCTGCTTCATTCATTTCTGAAAGAAAAAACTTCTTTTTATTCTAAACTTTTCATCTTATTCCTTAAATTTCTATTTCAATTCATTTTGTTCATCTTTTCTTTTTTCTTTTTTTTGATATCATTCGTTTTCCTAAATCACGTCTTTCTAAATCTTATTCTTCTTCCTAAACATTCTCCTGTCATTAATCTTCCTAAGTCATTCTTCTTAAATCATTCTCACTTCTAAGTCATTCTTCTTACTAAATTATTCTCCTGTCATTAATCTTCCTAAATCATTCTCCCTTCTAAGCCATTCTTCCTAAATCATTCTCCCTTCTAAGCCATTCTTCTTCCTAATTCACTCTCTTTTCTAAGTCATCATTCTCTTAAGTTATTCTTCTTTCTAAATCATTATCCTAAAGCATCCTTCTTCCTAAATCATTGCTTTTCTAAGCCATTCTCCTTCCTAAATCACTTTGTAAATCATTCTTCTTCTAAAATCATTCTTCTACTTAAGTCATCCTTCTTCCTAAATCATGCTTTTCTAAGTTATTCTCCTTCCTAAATCACTTCTTTGTAAGTCATTCTTCTAAAACCATTCTTCTTCCTAAATCATTCTTCTTCCTAAATCACTCTCCTTCTTAAATCATTCTCTTATCTAAATCATTCTTCTTCTGAGTCATTCTTCTTTCTAAATCATTCTCTTATCTAAATCATTCTTCTTCCTAAGTCATTCTCCTTCTTAAATCATTCTCCTATCTAAATCATTCTTCTTCCTAAGTCATTCTTCTTTCTAAATCATTCTCCTTCTTAAATCATTCTCCTTCTTAAATCATTCTTCTTCCTAAGTCATTCTTCATTCGAAATCATTCTTCTTCCCAAGTCATTCTCCTTCTTAAATCATTCTCCTATCTAAATCATTCTTCTTCCTAAGTAATTCTTCTTTCTAAATTATTCTTCTTCCCAAGTCATTCTCTTTCTTAAATCATTCTCCTATCTAAATCATTCTTCTTCCTAAGTCATTCTCCTTCTTAAATCATTCTCCTATCTAAATCATTCTTCTTCCTAAGTCATTCTTCTTTCTAAATCATTCTTCTTCCTAAGTCATTCTCCTTCTTAAATCATTCTCCTATCTAAATCATTCTTCTTCCTAAGTCATTCTTCTTTCTAATCATTCTTCTTCCTAAGTCATTCTTCTTCCTAAGTCATTCTTCTTTCTAAATCATTCTCCTATTTAAATCATTCTTCTTCCTAAGTCATTCTTCTTTCTAAATCATTCTTCTTCCTAAGTCATTCTCCTTCTTAAATCATTCTCCTATCTAAATCATTCTTCTTCCTAAGTCATTCTTCTTTCTAAATCATTCTTCTTCCCAAGTCATTCTCCTTCTTAAATCATTCTCCTATCTAAATCATTCTTCTTCCTAAATCAATTCTTCTTTCTAAATCATTCTTCTTCCCAAGTCATTCTCCTTCTTAAATCATTCTCCTATCTAAATCATTCTTCTTCCTAAGTCATTCATTCTCCCTATCTAAATCATTCTTCTTCCTAAGTCATTCTTCTTTTTAAATCATTCTCCTATCTAAATCATTCTTCTTCCTAAGTCATTCTTCATTTTTTCTAAATCATTCTTCTTCCAAGTCATTTCTCCTTCTTAAGTCATTCTCCATTTCTTAAATCATTCTCATTCCTATCTAAATCATTCTTCTAAGTCATTCTTGTTTCTATTCTTCCTAAGTCATTCTCATTCTTCTTTCTAAATCATTCTTCTTCCTAAGTCATTCTCCATTTCTTAAAATCATTCTTCTTCCTAAGTAATTCTTCTTTTAAATCATTCTAATCATTTCTCCTTAAATCATTCTTCTTCTAAATCATTCATTCTCCTTCTTAAATCATTCTCTATCTAAATCATTCTTCTTCCAAAGTCATTCTCCTTCTTAAATCATTCTCCTATCTAAATCATTCTTCTTCCAAAGTCATTCTCCTTCTTTCATTTCTCCTTCTTAAATCATTCTCCTATCTAAATCATTCTTCTTCCTAAGTCATTCTTCTTTCTAAATATCTATTCTTCTTCCCTAAGTCATTCTTCTTCTTAAATCATTCTCCTATCTAAAATTCATTCCTAAGTAATTCTTCTTTCTAAATCATTCTTCTTCTTCCCTAAGTCATTCTCCTTCTTAAATCATTCTCCATTCTCTATCTAAATCATTCTTCTTCCTAAGTCATTCTTCTTTCTAAATCATTCTTCTTCCCAAGTCATTCTCCTTCTTAAATCATTCTCCTATCTAAATCATTCTTCTTCCTAAGTCATTCTTTTTCTAAATCATTCTCCTATCTAAATCATTCTTCTTCCTAAGTCATTCTTCTTTCTAAATCCTTCTTCTTCCTAAGTCATTCTCCTTCTTAAATCATTCTCCTATCTAAATCATTCTTCTTCCTAAGTAATTCTTCTTTCTAAATTATTCTTCTTCCTAAGTCATTCTCCTTCTTAAATCATTCTCCTATCTAAATCATTCTTCTTCCTAAGTCATTCTTCTTTCTAAATCATTCTTCTTCTAAGTCATTCTCCTTCTTAAATCATTCTCCTATCTATCTAAATTCTTCTTCCTAAGTCATTCTTCTTTCTAAATCATTCTCTATCTAAATCATTCTTCTTCCTAAGTCATTTCTTCTTTCTAAATCATTCTTCTTCCTAAGTCATTCTCCTTCTATTAAATCATTCATTCCTAAATCATCTAAATCATTCTTCTTCCTAAGTCATTCTTCTTCTTTCTAAATCATTCTTCTTCCCTTAAATCATTCTCCTTCTTAAATCATTCTTCTTCTAAATCATTCTTCTTCTAAATCATTCTTCTTTCTAAATCATTCTTCTTCCTAAGTCATTCTTCATTTAAATCATTCTATTTTTCATTCTTCTAAATCATTCTTCTATCTAAATCATTCTTCTTCCTAAGTCATTCTTCTTTCTAAATCATTCTTCTTCCTTCCTTCTAAATCATTCTTCTTCCTAAGTCATTCATTCTTTAAATCCTTCTTTAAATCATTTTCTTCTCATTCTTCTTCTAAATCATTCTTCTTTCTAAATCATTCTTCTTCTTCTAAATCATTCTTCTTCTTAAATCATTCTCCTATCTAAATCATTCTTCTTCTAAATCATTCTTCTTCCTAAGTCATTCTTCTTTCTTCTTTCTAAATCATTCTTCTTCCTAAGTCATTCTCCTCATTCTTAAATCATTCTCCTATCTAAATCATTCTTCTTCCTAAGTCATTTCTTCTTTCTCTTAAGTCATTCTTCTTCCTAAGTCATTCTTCTTCCTTCATTCTTCTTCTAAATCATTCTCCTATCTAAATCATTCTTCCTAAGTCATTCTTCTTTCTAAATCATTCTTCTTCCTAAATCATTCTCCTTCTTAAATCATTCTCTATCTAAATCATTCTTCCTTCATTCTAAATCATTCTTCTTCCTTCATTCTTTTCTAAATCATTTCTTCTTCCTTAAGTCATTCTCTTCTAAATCATTCTCCCATCTAAATCATTCTTCTTCCTAAGTCATTCTTTCTTCTAAATCATTCTTCTTCCTAAGTCATTCTCCTTCTTAAATCTTCTTCATTCTTCTAAAATCATTCTTCTTCCTAAGTCATTCTTCTTCTAAATCATTCTCTTTCTTCTAAAGTCATTCTTCTTCCTAAGTCATTCTTCTTTCTAAATCATTCTTCATTCAAATCATTCTCTCTTTCTAAATCATTCTTCTTCTAAGTCTTAATTCTTCTTTAAATTCTTAAATCATTCTCCTATCTTTCTTCTATTCTTCTTCCTAAGTCATTCTTCTTTCTAAATCATCTTTTTCTCCTTCTTAAATCATTCTTCCTATTTTTCTTTCTAATCATTCTTCTTCCATTCTTCTTCCTAAGTCATTCTTCTTTCTAAATCATTCTTCTTCTAAGTCATTCTCCTTCTTAAATCATTCTCCTATCTAAATCATTCTTCTTCCTAAGTCATTCTTCTCATTCTAAATCATTCTTCTTCTAAATCATTCTCCTTCTTAAATCATTCATTTTCCTCATTCTTCTTCTTAAATCATTCTCCCATTCTAAATCATTCTTCTTCTTAAATCATTTCATAAATCATTCTTCTTCCTAAGTCATTCTTCTTTCTTAAATCATTCTCCTAAATCTCTTAATCTAAATCATTCTTCTTCCTAAGTCATTCTTCTTTCTAAATCATTCTTCTTCCTAAATCATTCTCCTTCTTTTTCCTAAATCATTCTTTTCTCTAAGTCATTCTTCTTCTTTAAATCATTCTCCTATCTAAATCATTCTTCTTCCTAAGTCATTCTTCTTTCTAAATCATTCTTCTTCCAAAATCATTCTTCTTCTTAAATCATTCTCCTATCCCCCTTCTTAAATCATTCTTCTTTCTAAAAATCATTCTTCCTCATTCTCTTCTTAAATCATTCTTCTTTCTTCTTCCTAAATCATTCTTCTTCCTAAGTCATTCTCCTTTCTTTAAATCATTCTCCTATCTAAATCATTCTTCTCCTCATTCTCCTTCATTCTTCTTTCTAAATCATTCTTCTTCCTAAGTCATTCTTCCTTTTTCTTCTTAAATCATTCTCCCATTCTAAATCATTCTTCTTCCCAAGTCATTTCTTTCTCCTAAATCAATTCATTCTTCTTCCTAAGTCATTCTTCTTTCTAAATCATTCTTCTTCCTAAGTCATTCTCCTTCTTAAATCATTCTCCTATCTAAATCATTCTTCTTCCTAAGTCATTCTTCTTTCTAAATCATTCTTCTTCTTAAATCATTCTCTTAAATCATTCTAAATCATTCTTCTTCCTAAGTCATTCTTCTTCTAAATCATTCTTCTTCCTAAATCATTCTCCTCATCTAAATCATTCTTCTTCCTAAGTCATTCTCCTAAATTTTCTTCCTAAATCATTCTTCTTCTAAATCATTCTCCTTCCTAAGTCATTCTTCTTTCTAAATCATTCTTCTTCCTAAGTCATTCTCTTTCTTAAATCATTCTCCTATCTAAATCATTCTTCTTCCTAAGTCATTTCTTCTTTCTAAATCATTCTTCTTCCTAAGTAAGTCATTCTCCTAAGTTCTTAAATCATTCTTCCTCATTCATTCTAAATCATTCTTCTTTCTAAATCATTCTTCTTCCTAAATCATTCTTCTTCCTAAATCATTTTCTTCCTAATCATTCTCCTTTAAATCATTCTTCTCTAAGTCATTCTTCCTAAGTCATTCTTCTTCCTAAGTCATTCTCCTTCTAAATCATTTCTTCATTCTTGCCCATCATTCTTAAATCATTCTTCTTCTAATCATTCTCATCTAAATCATTCTTTTCTAAGTCATTCTTCTTTCTAAATCATTCTTCTTCCCTTAAGTCATTCTCATTCTTCTTAAATCATTCTTCTTCCTAAATCATTCTTCTTCCTCAAATCATCCTTCTTTCTAAATCATTCTTCTTTCTAAATCATTCTTCTTCCTAAAGTCATTCTCCTTCTTAAATCATTCTCCTATCTAAATCATTCTTCTTCCTAAGTCATTCTTCTTTCTAAATCATTCTTCTTCCTAAGTCATTCTCCTTCTTAAATCATTCTCCTATCTAAATCATTCTTCTTCTAAGTCATTCTTCTTTCTAAATCATTCTTCTTCCTAAGTCATTCTCCTTCTTAAATCATTCTCCCTATCTAAATCATTCTTCTTCCTAAGTCATTCATAAATCATTCTTTCTAAATCTTAAATCATTCTTCTTCCTAATTCTTCATTCTATTAAATCATTCTTCTTCCTTAAATCATTCTCCTATCTAAAATTCTTCTTCTTTTCATTCTTCCTAAGTCATTCTTTCTAAATCATTCTTCTTCCTAAGTCATTTCTTCTTTTAAATCATTCTCCTATCTAAATCATTCTTCTTCCTAAGTCATTCTTCTTTCTAAATCATTCTTCTTCCTAAAAGTCATTCTCCTTCTTAAATCATTCTCCTATCTAAATCATTTCTTCTTCCTAAGTCATTCTTCTTTCTTAAATCATTCTTCATTTCTAAATCATTCTTCCTATCTAAATCATTCTCCTAGTCATCTAAATCATTCTTCTCCTAAATCATTCTTCTTCCTAAATCATTCTTCTTCCTTAAATCATTCTTCTTTCTAAATCATTCTTCTTCCTAAGTCATTCTTCTCTTTCTAAATCATTCTTCTTCCTAAGTCATTCTCCTTTTTAAATCATTCTCCCATCTAAATCATTCTTTCTAAGTCATTCTATTCTAAATCATTCTTCTTCCAAGTCATTCTCCTTCTTAAATCATTCTCCTATCTAAATCATTCTTCTTAAATAATTCTTCTTCTTCTTTCTTTAAATCATTCGTCTTCCTAAGTCATTCTCCTTCTAAATCATTCTAAATCATTTCTCATTCTCCTATCTAAATCATTCTTCTCTAAATCATTCTTCTTCCTAAGTCATTCTTCTTTCTAAATCATTCTTCTTCCTAAGTCATTCTCCTTCTTAAATCATTCTCCTATCTAAATTCTTCATCCTTCTTCTTCTTCCCTAAGTCATTCTTCTTTCTAAATCATTCTTCTTCCTAAGTCATTCTCCTAAAATCATTCTTCCTAAGTCATCTTTTAAATCATTCTTCTAAGTCATCTAAATCATTCTTCTTCCTAAGTCATTCTTCTTAAATCATTAAATCATTCTTCTTCCTAAGTCATTCTAAATCCTTCTTCCTAAGTCATTCTTCTCATTCTCCTATCTAAATCATTCTTCTTCCTAAGTCATTCTTCTTTCTAAATTATTCTTCTTCCTAAGTCATTCTTCTTAAAATCATCTTCTTCTCTAAATCATTCTTCTCTATCTAAATCATTCTTCTTCCTAAGTCATTCTTCTTTCTAAATCATTCTTCTTCTAAGTCATTCTCCTTCTTAAATCATTCTCCTATCTAAATTATTCTTCTTCCTAAGTCATTCTTCTTTTTCTAAATCATTTAAATCATTCTATCTAAATCATTCTTCTTCCTAAAGTCATTCTTCTTTCTAAATCATTCTTCTTCCTAAGTCATTCTTCCTAAATCATTTTAAATCTAAATCATTCTTCTTCTTAAGTCATTCTTCTTCTTCTAAAATCATTTCTTCTTCATTCTTCTAAGTCATTCTTCATTCTTTTCTAAATCATTCTTCTTCCTAAGTCATTCTCCTTCTTTCCTTAAATCATTCTTCCCTACCTCATTCTTCTTTCTAAATCATTCTCCATTCTAAATCATTCTTCTTCCTAAGTCATTCTTCTTTCTAAATCATTCTTCTTTCTAAATCATTCTTCTTCCTATTCTCTAAATCATTCTTTCCTTCTTCTAAATCATTCATTCCTCATTTTCTTTCTAAATCATTCTTCTATCTAAGTCATTCTTCTTCTTTAAATCATTTCTCCTCATTCTTCTTTCTAAATCATTCTTCTTCCTAAGTCATTCTCCTTTCATTCTTCTTTCTAAATCATTCTTCTTCCTAAGTCATTCTCCTTCTTAAATCATTCTCCTATCTAAATCATTCTTCTTCCTAAGTCATTCTTCTTTCTAAATCATTCTTCTTCCTAAGTCATTCTCCTTCTTAAATCATTCTCCTATCTAAATCATTCTTCTTCCTAAGTCATTCTCCTTCTTAAATCATTCTCCTATCTAAATCATTCTTCTTCCTAAGTCATTCTTCTTTCTAAATCATTCTCCTATCTAAATCATTCTTCTTCCTAAGTCATTCTTCTTTCTAAATCATTCTTCTCATTCTCTTTCTAAATCATTCTTCTTCCTAAATCATTCTTCTTCTCATTCTCCTTCTTAAATCATCTAAATCATTCTTCTTCCTAAGTCATTCTCCTTCTTAAATCATTCTCCTATCTAAATCATTCTTCTTCCTAAGTCATTCTTCTTTTCTAAATCATTCTTCTTCATTCTTCTTCCTAAATCATTTCTCATTCTCATTCTTCTTTCTTAAATCATTCTAAATCATTCTTCTTCTAAATCATTCTTCTTTTCATTCTTCTTCATTCTTCTTTCTAAATCATTCTCCTATCTAAATCATTCTTCTTCATTCTTTTTTCTAAATCATTCTTCATTCTCCTTCTTAAATCATTCTCCATCTAAATCATTCTTCATTCTAAGTCATTCTTCTTTCTAAATCATCATTCTTCTTCCTAAGTCATTCTTCTTTCATTCTTCTTCCTAAATCATTCTTCTTCCTTAAGTCATTCTCCTTCTTAAATCATTCTCCTATCTAAATCATTTCTTCTTCTTCTTTCTAAATCATTCTTCTTCTAAAGTCATTCTCCTTCTTTCTCCTTCTTAAATCATTCTCCTCATTCTCCTTTCTAAATCATTCTCCATTCTTCTTCCCAAGTAAATCATTCTTCTTTCTAAATCATTCTCCTATCTAAATCATTCTTCTTCCTAAGTCATTCTCCTTCTTAAATCATTCTTCTATCCTAAATCATTCTTCTTCTTCCTAAGTCATTCTCCTTCTTAAATCATTCTCTATCTAAATCATTCTTCTTCCTAAGTCATTCTCCTTCTTAAATCATTCTCCCTATCTAAATCATTCTTCTTCCTAAGTCATTCTTCTTCTCTAAATCATTCTTCTATCTAAATCATTCTCTTCCTCAAATCATTCTTCTTCCTAAGTCATTCTTCTTCTTAAATCATTCTTCCTAAGTCATTCTCTTAAATCATTCTTCTTCCTAAGTCAATTCTTCATTTCCTAAATCATTCTTCTTCCTAAATCATTTCCTTCTTTAAATCATTCTCCCATCTAAATCATTCTTCTTCCTCCAAGTCATTCTTCTTTCCAAATCATTCTCCCATCTAAATCATTCTTCTTCTTCCTAAATCATTCTTCCCTTTCTAAATCATTCTTCTTCCTAAGTCATTCTTCTTCTAAATCATTCTTCTTCCTAAGTCATTCTCCTTCTTAAATCATTCTTCTATCTAAATCATTCTCATTCTTCTTTTAAATCATTCTCCTAAGTCATTCTCATTTTCTAAATTCTTCTTTCTAAATCATTCTTCTTCAAGTCTTCTTCCTAAGTAATTCTTCTTTCTAAATTATTCTTCTTACTAAGTCATTCTCCTTCTTAAATCATTCTCCTATCTAAATCATTCTTCTTCCTAAGTCATTTTTTTCTAAGTCTTTCATTTCTCCCTCTTTTATTTTATTCTTTCTTTCCTTTTATTTTTCTCTATCATTTATATTCCTTTTACTATATAATGATTGCTACATAATCCATAACAGTTATGAAAATTGGTATATAATTTAAAATTTGATAAAACAAATAGATTTTATCATCTTAAAAATTATAAGATATATCTTTAAAACATATTTTATAAGTTTATCAACTTCAAATAAAATAAGACTTCCTTTTTATTGAATATTACTCATGAAACATGAGATTCCAACTAAGAAGAAAACAACTTAAATTTCAATTTCATTTGCTTATAATTTACATGAAAAATTAAAATTTACACATCATTTAAAACTTGTATCAAATAATTAGATTACAAAGTTTAATCTTTCTACCATTTGTAATAAATCATTTATTTAAATTTAATATCTTTCAACTGCCACAATTAGAAAATAAAATAAAATTTTATAAAAAACAATGTACCGAATCATACCTAAAATGACATCTGCATAGCACAACATATAGGCATAAAAGAAACACGTCAGAGAGAAAACAGATTTATTCTTTGTCTTTCAAGACCTTTATTACTATCCTTACACATCAACTTGTTGGATTTTAAGTTATTTACCAAAAGATAAGTAACTTCTATTTCATAGAAGTTTCTTTAAAATTTTTTATATATTATCCCCACAAAACATGTGAACCTGATGGCATCCCTGCAATAGTCCTTAAGAAGTGTTCCCTTGGACTAACTCCTGTTCTGTCTAAACTCTACACTGGCTGCTTTTTGCATTCCGGCCTGTTATAAATCCTCTTCTATAGTTGCAGTCTTTAAGAACTCAGTTGAAACATCTGATCCTTCCAACTATTGGTCTATTAGCTTTCTATCTCTTTTTGGCAAAGTCCACAGTGGCGTAATGGATAGTAGCTTCGTTTGAGGAATCAAAGAGCCGAGTTTGAATTCCAGTTGAATCCATTACATTCACTTACGTATTAATACCCTTGGAAAGGTATGAATCCTCTTTTTCTCCCCTCAGCTATGGTTAGATAGCAGGACAGACTGGGTTCTATAGCCTTGGATGGCAACTTGGATGGTCTACCGCAGAAACAAGTGGCAACCTACTGTGGGAAAAATCTGCCTCGTTAGTCAAGTATCGAAAAGTACATGATCGCCTAAGCATGTATCACGCATGGCATATAACGCATGGCTCTAATTAACTCTGAATTGGTCATGTATCTCACATCACAGAGTCTTCTTTCAGATAAGCAATATGGCTTTCACTTCTATAGGTCAACTGCTGATGTTTTAACGATTATTGCTGAAAGAACCTATCAAGTATGGTAAAAATGGTGAAGCTCAGGCCGTTGCTTTGGTACATCTCAAAGGCATTTGACAGGGTTTGACATGACAGTCTTCTTCACAAGTTATTTTATTTCTGTAAAAATTTTTGAAGTGATTCAGTCTTTCTTATCAAATTGCAAAATGAAAGTTGTCCTAAACAGTCACTCTAGGTCTTTCTGCAGTAATGTAGGTGTCCCCTAAGGCTCTATCCTTGGACCTATGCTGTGTCTAATTTTCATCAATGACTATGCTCACATCATCGGTTCTTAACTCGGTATCTATGCTGATGACACAACTATTTGCTTTTATCTTAATAGTAAGTTGAATCGGTTCGATACGGTCAAATTAGCAGCTGATTCAAAAATGACCTACAGTTAACTTGGGTAAGGAATGCTTTTTTTATATATATATATATATATATATATATATATATATATATATATATATTTATATATATATTTATGTATATATATATATATATATATATATATATATATATATATATATATATATATGTGTGTGTGTGTGTATATATATAATATATATATATATATATATATATATATATATATATATATATATATATATATATATATATATATATATATATATATATATATATATTACATTCACTTATGTGCTAATACCCTTAGGAAAGGTATTAATCCTCTTCTTCTCCCTACAGCTATGGGTAAATAGCAGGACAGACTGTGTTCTATAGCCTTGGATGTCAACTCGTCTAGAAGAAGGACATCTCAGAATTCAAAACATGCATAGGGTTGTTTGGCACACAGTGCATCAGGTCTCTGTATTCAGCCCTTCAAAAATTGTGGTTGGTTCTGCACAAAGCTGTCACCACTATAATCAAATCATATGTGCTGGTATCTGGCTGCTGGTTCCTAGGAACTCAGCTGTTTGTTGCATATGTCGGAATAACAATGGGAGAGTCCACCATATATATATATATATATATATATATATATTTATATATATAGTTTTAAGGTATGTTATAATTATAGGTTAAAGTGTTCAATATCAGGGATAGAGCATATGTAAATATAAAAGTGGACATTGAAGTCAACAACTAGTAGCAATAGTCTGTTTCCTGCTTGAGAAGGAAAACCCTGATGCTGATGATTGTGTTTAAGTATGAAACGGACTATTGCTGCTTGGTGTTGACTTCAACGTCTATTTTATATATATATATATATATATATATATATATATATATATATATATATATAAAAAAGGCTTAAAACACTAATATTCCATGGTCATAATTTATTCCATTGGAATCGTAAATACAATCCAATTCATCAGACCTACCTGGATTCTATCCTCTCGGAATTTTTTATTCAAAAAATATACATATATGTGTATGCACCTATGTATATATATCTATATATTTTGCATATGTATGTGTATATTTACCACTAATATTATCTATCTATCTATCTATCTATCTATATATATATATATATATATATATATATGAGTCATGAGCACCCATGTCCTGAAGAGACACAGCACATAGAAGAAAAAGATGAAATCCTACTCAATGGTACAATTTTAGTACAGGCATATTAGATACCTCCACACCCCCCTTTCAGCAAGGGAAAAAGTGTTTCATTTATGTAAGTACATAAAAACAAACTCATGGATTTGGACAAAATAAAAGAACCTAGAATGATGTCAAAATCCGGAAAAACTTTTCATCCTTTAATGGTCAGTTGTGCTTAGTTTAATTTGTAATGCATATAAAATGTAGATAGAAAAAAGCAAAGGATCAGAAATAGCACGGATCACAGAGCATTGCCTGAAAACCCCAATCAGGCTTGAATTATTGCGGGGGGGGAATGGTAGTATGTACTGACCCTTCTAGTAGTAGTAGTAGTAATAATAATAATAATCATACTTATTATAAAACCCACGTTGTGTGTGTGTGTGTGTGTGTCTGAACGTTTATATATTGGATCGGATTTCCTACATTTTTCAACCGATTTCAACAAAACTTCACAGGACTACGTAAAATTACCTTGCAGTGGTTCTGACAGCGCCAAAAATTGGAAAAACACAATTGTTTTTGCACAAAATCAATTTGAAAACACGATTAAGAGGCATCGCTTTCGCGGGATGAAAGGGGGACAACTCATATCGAGTTATACTTGTTATAAAACCCAGGTTGTTTGTTTGTTGTGTGTGTGTGTGTTCATTTATATATGGGATTGGATTTCTACATTTTTTCAACCGATTTCAACAAAACTTCACTTTTTTTTGGCAGGTAGTGTTTCTTATTGTCTTGCACACTTTTTTTTTTATTTTTACATTCAGAATGCTTTAAAAAATTCCATTTACAAGACAATTGTTTATAATAAAATTCTATTCAATCGGTAGACTCATAATGATTGAAAACAATGTTTTGTTTGAGTTTGGGTTTGACCAATTCGTAAAAAAACAAAAAAAACAAATTAAGACATCGTGTCCATCAACCTTAAACAATAATCTTTGTCAATTTTATTTTTCAGTCTTTATGATGGTCGATACTTGATCTATCTCTTACTGTTACATCCCCGGGCAATGCCGGGCTCTACTGCTAGTAATAAATAAAATGCCCAGATGCTACACAATCATGGTTGTTATGGCTTTTTATCTTAATTGATTGAAGGTGTTAACATGTACATATTTTCTCTTGGTAAATTAAGATGGACTACAGTAAATATCCCTTTCAGTACCACAGATTTGATTATCAGTTGCTTGACTGTAGCCAGTCAGCCTCCTAATGGATGACAAACTGTCCATTTCTGTTCATGAGCAGGAGTAGTGGAAGTGCATTATGGCCTTGTGTCATGTTTTTAAAGTATGAGGCAACAAAGGCAACTTTGGAGTCACATCAAGATCATAGGAATGTCCTCAATTGGTAACTGAGTAAAATGAAAGTATATCTAACTGCACGCCATCTGTAAAATTATGTGCTATTTTTATTAAAAACCTATACCCATATCATGCATTTTTAGCTGTTGATTCTGTTTAGTGGCATCTCAACCTCTGTGGGTTATTTAATGCCAAAATCTAAGTACTTTGGACACAATTTTGTGGCTTCAACTAAACATATTTTGAACATAGTTGTATGCCTTCAACTACAGTTAAAATACAGGGTGTTTCAAAAAATTTGATGTCATTTCGCAATCTAATAACTTTGTTAGATCTCCTTCAAATTTTAATAGCATCTTTATGTTTAATGTTTGTTTTTATGTCTTTATGTTTTTCTTATTTGTATTTTTTATGTTCTTTAATCTTTTTCTTTACAGGTATAAAAATGCCGTGTCTCAGGCGGTGCGCATATTGAACATTTGTGAAATCGTTCACTTAATCCACATGCTTTTGAATTTCTCATTCAGATTTGGAAGAATAAATCTTATGATCTTCAACATTAATACTTTTTAATTTCATT